TTTTTTTTTTTTTTTTTTATTTTTTTTTTATTTTTACGATTGTTGAAGCCGTCTCCACACAATTATTTCGCCAAGCGGGGTTTTTGTCAGACTCCCGCAGTAATTTTTTTTTTTTATTTTTTTTCGTTTGGAAGAGTTAGTTTTCCAGCTATTTTGAGCGTAATTTCTGGTTTTATTTTATTGATGCCCTCTATTAACTCAGTAGTTGCCAAATATAAATGTTTTTGGAGCTTGACGGACATCTCGCAGTGTCGTACTAGATTACATTAATTTCTCTTTTCGCTCTAACATTTAGTTTTATTGTTAGTTTATTCATCACTTAGTTCGGTTAGAATTTTGGTTATTTTTTGGCCTGTTTTTCTGGGTTAGGTGAGTTTTGTGGCAAATGTGAGTTTTGAAATGAGTTGTTCTTGACGCTTGCTATTTATTTTCTTCTGAGGAAGTGTGGGCGGCGCTTTCATTTTTTTTCTAGTTCAAAGAGGTTCCCAAGTTTGGGCATTTAATGGGTAGCTAGCTTTTTTTTGTTATTGTTATTTTTATTACTTTACTTATTACTGTTACTACTATTGTTAGCTTTGTCGTTACTTTATTATTATTGTTATTATTATTATTATTATTATTATTATCATTATTATTATTATTATTTTTATTATAGTTGTTATTATCACTGCTATCGTCACTTTTTGTATTTTTATTACTGGTAATACTGAAACTGCTACCGTTATCATCGTTGTTTTTGTAGTCTCATTTTAGCTGAACTTCCGTAGACTTTTCATACGTGTGTTTAGTTACGGTTAGGATTTGTGGGTAATGTACCTTATTCTGCGCAAAAATAGTGTATTTTGTGAACAGTTTCATCAGAGTGGTTAGAATCTTAATCCAGGACCTTGCCTTTCAATTAAATGTTTGTGCATTTGGCATTTCATTTTCCGTTTTTGAAAATGCGTGGCCGAGTTGACATGCCTTGGGCATTTTTAGAATTTCTAGGTTTTCAAATTTAGGGTATTCTTTCATTAAGTGGTGGCGTGTTCTAGAAGATATTGTTTGTTTTTCTTTGGATTTTAGTACATTATTTTTCTCTTTTTGTGCTGGTAAGGTTTTTTCACTTCGTCTTAAGATCTTTACTGTTCGTTTGGGACTGGGATTTTAGCTACATTTTTTTTGATGAACTTTACGTTGTGAAAATGTTTAGCGCATTGTTCATTTGTGTAAATCTCTGTACAAAAAAATTTTTTTCAGTGTTCTTGACTCGTATTAATGGTTTTGCTATAGATCAGCTCGGAAGCCAACCGGATGCTTTCCATGATGGTTCACAGCGAATCGGCATCTGTAACAAACGGTGAAACGAACAAGGCTTCAACTTCGAAACGTAAGTCTATATTTTCTAGTTGATATAAGACTTGGTTGCCTCGATACAGCGTTTTAGTTATAATATATAAATCATTTTGAACCAGTGAGTGATGTGTCATTTTTTTCTTTGTCGTTTGCTTCTCAAGCTCTTTTAATCTGTAAATTTCACATTCTCGTTAGCTCATTCGTGAAAAGGGTTTGCAGAGGGTTGTCGAAGTCCAACAGGTCATAGCAAAAGTGAGGATAATGAAGATTCTTCTTCCCCTTCGCCTTCGAGGAGACGCTCATCTTCAACTCAGAAGAAGCGGGGTAATGAGCATGATTCTTCCAGTAAAAGGAGGAGAAGGAATTCGACTTCTGTTAGTCCATCTTATAAAGAAAGGTTCTTGTTATGTCCTTTACAGATTATAATACTGGTTCCTTTTTTTCTTTTGTTAAAAAAATATTATTGAATACTAGTCTTGGAAGCTTGTCATAGGATGGTAACTTAAATTGAAAGTTACTTTGCTCTATGGTGAATGTTCTTCCCATAATTATTTGTGGCTATTATCTTTTTCTTAATCGTTGTTGAGGTTGTGATGGTGAATAGGTGATTGTTACCACCTTGTTTAGGCGATCAAGAAGTAGAAGCCGTTCTACTTCTCGGCTACGCAAAAGGAGACGCTCATCAGCTTCTCCTGCTAATGGGAAAAGAGATTTCGATAGGAGGAATTCTGATTACAGACGAAGGGAGAGTGGAGGTGGCAGTCGACGGAGTCAAAATAGGTTGATATTTCTTGTTGGATATCACTTTGGTACTAAAATTGAATATAATTTACTGGGACTAGGTTCGTGTATTTGTTTCATAGGGTGTGTGGTACTAAGGAACTTTAGTTTAACAAGATTTTGACAGAAAGTGATGTGAAAGAGAGCGAACTGCTTTGTTGTAAAGTGGTTATTTTTTATTAAGCATGTGAGATATGTAAGTATTGTTTACTGGACTTAGATTTTTGCTTCATCGCATTCTTTGTTATCTTCTTGCTTTTTCGAACCAGTATTTAGACGTTTCTATCGGTCTCCCCCTCGGTCAAGCGGACGGCGGAGTGATAGGCGGGATTCCAGGCGCAAACGTACTAGGTCCCCTTCAACGTCTTCATCTTCAAGTTCTAGTGATTCTTCACCAACTACATTACGAAGTATGAATGAGTAAGTTTTTGTCTGTTTCTCAATATTAAAACTACTTAGTTCTTGGGATTTGCGTATTTTGGAGAAGGATGACTAATTATTTGTCGTTACTACGATTATATTCGTCAGTTAAGTCACTTAACAAACGATTAAGGCTTAGAAAACAGTAATTTTTAGGAACTTCAAATTTCAGTTTCTTTAGTCAAACTTGAAATCAAGCTGCTGGTAGTTTTTAGGATGGAAATGAAGCAGTCATTATTAGGAGAGATAATAGCAAGGCATAAAGATAAGCGGCTAGACAAGGATTTTAAAGAGAAGAAAAGCAAGAAGCACAAAAGGAGTTCAGCAATTAAAAAAAGGTCACGTCGCCGCAGAACACCTGTGTCAGAGTCGTCTTCTTCTTCATCAAGTAGAAGCTCTC